CGAAAGGATTATCCCCACCCAGATTTAACGACCATCACATTCCTCTGAAGGAAGGGGCACATCCATTCAAGATGAGGCCCTACAGATGCCCTTATATACAGAAGACAGAGATAGAGAAGATGGTCAGGGAAATGAAGGAAAATGGCATCATACAACCTAGTAATAGCCCTTATGCTTCACCTATACCGTTGGTCAAGAAGAAAGATGGTACATGGCGATTCTGTGTGGACTATAGACAACTTAATAANATGCTTCACCTGTACTGTTGGTCAAAAAGAAAGATGGTACATGGCGATTCTGTGTGGACTATAGACAACTTAATAACCTCACAATTAAAGACAAATATCCTATGCCACTAATAGATGAATTACTGGATGAGTTGAAGGGAGCCAAGTGGTTCACAAAGATTGACTTGAGGGCTGGCTAGCATCAGATTAGAGTGGCTACTGAGGATGTCCACAAAACAGCTTTTAAGACTCGTGAGGGTCTATATGAGTTCAGAGTAATGCCATCCGGATTGACAAATGCCCCGACAACTTTCCAATGCTTGATGAATAAAGTATTTAAACAACATCTCAGGAAGTTCATTTTGGTATTCTTCGATGACATTTTGGTGTATAGCACAGACCTAGATTCCCACTGTAAGCATGTCACTATGGTACTGGAAATCCTCAAGCGACATCAACTCTATGCCAAGGCAAGTAAATGCTCCTTTGGGCAGTCTCAAATAGAATACTTAGGCCACATTATTTCTGCAGAAGGGGTGTCGGCTGACCCTTCTAAAATTATAGCAATGCAAGAGTGGCCCACACCATTTAATGTTAAACAACTCAGGGGATTTCTTGGACTGGCAGGATATTACAGGAAATTTGTAAGGGGGTATGGAGTTATTGCCAAACCTCTAACTGATTTACTGAAGAAAGATAGCTTCCAATGGAATGAAAGGGCTGAGGAAGCATTCAAAGAATTGCAGAACGCTATGAGCACCACACCAGTCCTAGCTTTGCCAGATTTCTCCATACCATTTGTTATAGAGACTGATGCTTGTTATGGTGGATTGGGGGCTGTCTTAATACAAAACAAGAGACCTATCGCTTACTTGAGTAAAGGCATTTGTAGCAGGAATTTGGGCCTGTCAATCATGAAAAAGAGCTATTGGCACTGGTAACTGCGGTGGGGAAGTGGAGACATTATTTAGAAGGACACCACTTCATCATCAAAACTGATCACCAATCCCTTAAGTATCTCTTGGAGCAAAGGATCACCACCCCATTGCAACAAAAGTGGCTGTCGAAATT